CCCCAAAACCCCAAAACCCCAAAACCCCAAAACCCCGTAGATGTCATTTAAAATTGAATAATATAAGAAAACGAAAATGGATGGTCATCCCACAAGTAAGCACCCCAATCCCCTCTTCTAACCCTCTTAAACCCCCCAAAAACTCCTTCTTCCCCACTCTCCCATCCCCTCAAACCCCTCCTACCCACACCCCCACCCTTTGGCTTGCCCAGAATCTCCCCAATCCCATTCCTTCTTCCCAAACAGATACCCATTCCTAAGAGCTTCATATTTCATTGTCAGACGATCAATGCCTAACCCAGAATACATAGTTTAAAGCCCCTTTCTAGGACTCGTTGTAAAATATTTCTAAGTGATCATTCAAATTTAAATACGAATAGTATTTTAAATTCAGTCAAGATCTAATCCTTCCTATTGGCTATTCCAGACTCTTACATATTGGTATCTGGCTGGGTGATCAGGGGGTTATTAGAGCAGAGAAAGTTAATTTGGAAGAGATGGAGAGGAATGAGAGGGCAGGAAATAGATTTATTTGGAGATGGGGTTAAGATTATTGGTAGATCAAGGGTGATGCTTGAATGAGGGGGTGTAGATAGGAGGGATATTGATGTATTTTCAAAAATTAACTTTGTTTCCAGGTCTTAATAATTTAAATATAGGCAAACTTAAGCAATCTTCCAACATCCACAGAGAATCAGCAAATCAAAAAATTTCCTTCATTCTACAGAGCAAATACATAAATTCTCCGAACTCTCTTATAAACTCAGCCCAATTCTCACAAAATGAGAATACTAGAATCACTAGCGCTTATCGCCGTTCTAACACTTCAGCAACTTCTGCTCAAAAATCCTCAAAAACAGTGAAAGATCCCTCTAGAATCCACAACCTCAAAGGCATGGTCAAGAACACCGATATTCAAATCAAGCACAGAAAAAGTGAAAACTTCAGGAAAATTAAAAGAAGAGCTGACAAATCAGGCCATTCCAAAAGTGGCTCGAAGAGTAATTATGTTCTTGGAGGCAGCACAGTCTTCAGCCTTAAAGGCCAACCACAATTCTGAAGTAGTAAAGCAGCAAAATTTGTGTACAGACCTACAGAAGAAGAGTCTTTCACAACTAAAACAGGTGAGAATCCATACTTTAACAATTTTCTCCCAAATTGTTCTAATCATAAATATAGCAGGAGTCGGTGGAACAGAAGGGATGTATAAACTCTCAGGAAATTTAGTGCAGAAGATCCCGACCACCAAAGATGTTCATGCTTCCAAGATTGCTAAGGCCTTTATAAACAAGAACAAAAAGATACTTAAAAATGCTATCAACAATGGAGAGTACCTTAACCAGCCTCATCAAAGGAGGTTGTCAAATATTGCCAAGCCGAATAAACCTAAGAAGAAGTACAAAAATCATAAATCAAGCTACAGTGTTTCAAAGGATAAAATACTTAAAACTTACAAGGAATCCACAATTACAAGTCACAGTAATTATACAAGCGAACCAGTAAAAGGACATAAGAGAAGTAGCAGCGATTCTCAGAAGTTGTACGATATCAATAACTGGAAGCGCAACCTCAATCCTCCTCTTGAGCAAGCTAAGTGTAGCACAAATGAAAACACATCCAGATTTCGTAAGAAGAGCAAGAAGTCGCATAGTAAAGAACGATCCAAGCACAACAAATCAACTAATCATGAGAAATCACTGGAGAAAGCTTCAATGCAGATCGATAGATACTACAATCCGAAAAATAAGATTGATAGCACAGATCAAGTCTTAGTGACTCCAAGGAGTTTTCATGCTGCAGGGCAACATTCTAGTAAGCTTTCTTCAAAAATTGATTCATTTTTAAATAGATTCCTCTAAAATTAAAATGAACTTAAAAGATACACAAGAGTTATTCCATACTAATGCAAATAAAATTGGAGCTGACTCTCTGAACAGTAACTCCAAGTACAGCTCTTTTGGAGGCTCTCGAACTATTGAGAAGAAGAGAAGAAAGCTTAAGAAGACATCTTCTTACAAAAAGCGAAACGGAAAGCCTCATTCTAGCAAGAAGAGTGACAAGGAAAGGTCCTCTTCAAATAAATACAATGAGCATTTCATTATCAAAAATTATCGGTCAGTGAATATGACTAATAATCCGGCAAAGATAGCCAATATTCAAGATATTGAGAACAAGAAAAGGTACCAGTACCATAAAAGGATCCGCTCTGATACTGGAAACACTATAGTCACTCCCTTAGAACATTTATATGAGAGAAACAGTGCTATTGTTGGGAAGGACGGGTACCCATCTTTCCATAAAGCAAAGACTGATTTGCATACTCCTATTGTCCCCAACGAGGAACAGAGATACAGTGTTTTGGATAATAAGATGCCTATAAATTTGATAAACAATACAAATACAATTCAAATTAACAAATATGACTTCGCTCCAAGCTTCGTGCAGCACAAGAATGCCACTCTTGACTCAAATAGCCAATACAGAAAGTTTAAGACAAATATAAACCCCTCTAAAAGTAGCAAAGCATGCAGAAGTAAGATAAGCAGTTCTGAGAAACACAGAGTTTGTTCAAAGAAATCAGGCGGAGGGACTAGCTACTCACAAACTCCTTCAAAAAGCCACACTAGGAAGGCCTCAAACTCTAATTCTATAAAGAATGATCCTCATCCGTACAACTATTCTTCACAGAAGCCTGAATCTGTTAAGATCATGAGGGACCGAGAAATAAATGAGCTTGAAGAAGATCATGAAGCTCCTGAGAATGGAGTTTTTGAGTACTACTTTGGTAGTGACCCCAAACTCCCTGAAATACAGTCTAAGATCATTGTAAAGAAGAACCTCCAGCTCCAAGGGGATAAGTCAATATCTATATCGAAAGAAACTGAAGAGAATATTCGTCAGAGTGAAGCTCGGCCTTTGACTATCACTCCAGATAATATTTCTAACAACTTTATCTTCAGCAAGCCTTCAAGTTCTTTGAACAATCCAAAGTCTGAGATGAGTGGAGAGGTTTGTGTTAAAGGAAAACCAAAGGAAAATGAGACAAAGCCGACTACTAAAATTGTCCAAATTGACTGCCACAGCCTCGACCCGCTTGACACAACAAAATCAAAGGATGGCCTGGTTGCTGAAATAAAATAACATCATTGAAGAAACTGGCAAAGAGCCTGAAACTAAATCTAAACACTACAGAGTAGGCAAGCTTCTTGGAAAAGGTGCCTTTGGAAAGGTATCCCTGGGAATGCACAAAGCTACCAACCAACTTGTTGCAATCAAGAGTATCAACAAAGAGTTCCTCGAGGAGGAAAGAAGTCGAAAATAAGGTAGCTCGAGAAGTAGCAATTCTTAAGAAGTTACAGCATTCAAATATTATCAACCTTTATGAGACATTTGAAACTGAAAAACATTTCCTCCTCGTCACAGAGTTGTGACCGGGAGGTGACCTACTCAACTACGTTCGAAGGAGAAGAAAGTTGACTGAAGAGACTGCCAAGTACTTCTTCAAACAACTAGTTGAAGCCTGAATTTACTGCCATAAAAAGGGAGTTGTCCACAGAGATATAAAATTAGATAATATCCTCCTTGACCAAAAAGGGTGTCTCAAACTTGGCGACTTCGGAGTCAGCAGGGCAATTAAATAAAAATGAGATACTCAAGGACCAATGAGGGACTCCGGCTTACATTGCACCTGAAGTCCTGCATAACAGAGGATATAATGGAAAATTATCGGATACATGGAGCTGAGGTGTTGTCTTATTTGCAATGCTATACGGAACAGTTCCTTTTAAAGGAACCAATATGGATGAACTCCATTCGCTAATCAAAAACGGACAATACTCTTTGAAAGATAGCGTATCTAAGGAGGGAAGAAAACTCATCAAAGGAATTTTAGAAATAAATCCAAAGAAAAGACTCACGCTTAAAGAGATCCTAGAAACTCCATGGCTCCAAGATTGTTCTGAGACACTTGACATCTTCACAGATAACGAAAAAGAGACTATCAAGAAAGAGCTGATTTATGCTAACACTAGGAGGATAAACAGGAATTTTGGTAAAGAAGCTCCGAAAGATTTTGCCCAGATGACTGACAACAGTGATATTTTTCCTTTCTTCACAGAGCACAGGCTAGATTCAACTCAAAACTCCTTGGAAAGGAACAGGACTACCAAGTCTGTTATATTAGCTCCTTTCAACTCGACTCTCACACATATTAGTGAGAAAAGCGATGATGCTCCTCTTATCAAGAAGGCCAAGGTAATTAAATTCGGTGTAAAGTGAAAAGATGCCGATCGACAATATGAAGCGTTCAATAATCAAGACCTAGACAACGGAGTCTTCAATGAATTCATCCAGAAAACGGATTCTGACGAAGCAGGCAATACTATAAAGGACAGTATTTCTTCCCTAAAGCGAACTGAGGATAGTAAGTTCTCCTCTTCAATCCTCGAGACTGATGAGGATGATATTGAATCAATTACAAGCGATCACGTTGAGTTCCCAGAAATTCTCTACAAAATCATGGAAAAGTGTGGATATAAGAAAGAGTACTTAGCTCAATGCCTAACAAACAATCTCCATACATATGGAACCACAGGAATGCTGCTTATACATGAAAGACTAAAAAATGAAAACCTGATTGAGCCTAACTAATTTAAAATTTAAATTGCTCTTCAATAGGTTAAATCTAGCATGGGGTTTTGGGGTTTTGGGGTTTTGGGGTTTTGGGGTTTTGGGGTTTTGGGG